TATTTTATGTAGCAATCTCATTTTGTGGCATCATGTAGATCGTGATGTAAGCTGCAGGTCTGCCCAAACCGTTTGATTTTTGATAACGTAGTACAAAAAATCTAAGCATTTTTTGAAAACTGCTGAAAATCGAGGTTTCACGATTTTTTGGCAAACATGAAGCCCTACGAAACCTGATTCAAACATATGAAAGAGCGATTATAGGCAGCATGTAGCTGGAAGTTGGCACATTGGAATCAGTGAAAAAGAAATGAAATTTGAACACGAACCTTTGAGAAGTTGAACAAGTCAAATGCGTCAACTTTTGAAGGCAATTTGTCAATAACTAAGCTGCGAAACGTCAGAATTCGCTATAACTTTGCACTATGGGGTAATCCTATGCGGTAAACACGAATATCATATTCATTTGTCGCTAAAATGAAATTCATCTTTTGATCTCACGAACGAGGCCTTTCCATGCGAAACGGATCTCATTTTTGTGATCAGCATGTCAAATAAGCCCTATAGGCCAAGTTTCAGCAAAATCTGATGCATTCTAAAATTTTTCCCATAGTACCGTAAACCTGCCGTAATCCTCACATAAGATGGTAAAATTCGGCAAAAATGTGTGGATTAGAAGCTTACATCATATTCCTTATATAGCCAAAAAATGAATGCGCTACGTTCAAATAGACAAAAGTTATATAAAAAGTTGCATTATGTGCCAACCTAATACTTGGTCTCGGAAATATCCCCGTAAACCTTGTGTGCTTGCATGAGGCCATCGCTACTAGGAATTCCTCCATTATCGCACGTGGCTCTTCTCTTTTCGAAATTGCCAAATTCCACATTTTCCTAATTGGTCGATAACCTATGTGAAGGTTATGCATTACGGTCAAGGTGGGAGAAGGTTTGTGGGAAGCATGTGGTACGCAAAACAATATCAGTTTTCCGCTTTCCAAGTTATTCTTACATCTAGTGTTTTCTGAGTCTCTGGGTCATGTAGAAAAATATTTTTCAACTCATGCAAGCCTCCTATACGTTGGCATTTTCGCCTCTTATGCCAATCTGCCACTCTTGTTAGGCAGTGGCGTACCCAGGATTTCGGCTCGGGGGGGGGGGGGCGCGACAAAAATTTTTTTCTAAAGAAGGTGCGTGGCGTTAGCCACGCACTCCGAAAATTTTTTTGGGGTGCTCCTAAGAACTTTTGCGGGTCCCCGACCCCTAAAATCCGGAAAAAGGGGGCGTGGCGTCAGCCACGCCCCCGAAAAAAAATTTTTTTACAAGGCCAATTAGAATTTTTAAAAATTTAGAAAAGTATTTTAAATATTTACAAAAATAAACAAGTCACTTGCACATTTTTATAACCCATATAAGTGACTTTCAAAAATTTCGCGACCCATTCTCGGGGGGGGGGGGGGCGCGCCCCCCCCCCGCCCCCCCCCCTCGGTACGCCACTGTTGTTAGGATATTCGAACTTCTAAATCCGAGGACTTAAGTAGGTTGAATTTTATTCGTCCAACTACTTACATCATATTTTCTTCTTGATCACCTCCTTGTCATCTACTGTCGTGGCGAAGCTTAATGTGCTCTCCATCCTTCTATCATGTAGTGCTGTCAATCGAGCAACTTCTCCGTACATGTGACTGTAAACACCCTGCATCGTTGTTGCTAACAGTTTTTCCTATTTCGATTAAGCTGCGTTATCCTGCTAATATCTTTTGTGGAAGCTTCCGTCTGTTGGGAGTGGGGGAGGGGGGGGGGGGTACGAAACTCAATTACCTCGTCGCATTGACAGTGTCGCCAGCTCGTGCGGCTCTCCCGAGCAGCCTCTTCGCTTGGACTTTGCGCCGCATCTACGATGCACAGTCTCTAACCAGAACAGGCCAACATCGGTATGGTAGGTGTCCGCATCACCATCGTTCTGCGTAACGTCTATGATTCGCTATAGCCTTGAAGATGCCCTACGCATGATCCAGACCGCTAGACCTCTGGCTATGGCCATTATGTCGTTAAGCGCCTCCTCCGTAGACCACTGGTCCTCACAAGTGTAAAATGCCTTTAAATACACTTACAGACACATTGATGACATATTCCACGTATCTAGAGATGACCAGAAGTTTAAGAAATTTTTGAAGAGATATATTATACATGTTAAAGATGAACATTATGCACGATGAAAAAAACTAGCAGTAATAAAATTACTATTTTTTGGATTTGTGCTCAAAAGCTTCTGCTAACTCAGTGAAATTCAAACTTCAAGACAAAACGGATAATCATACTTTCAAAATCATTGGATATTCTCGTTGACACTCCAACATACAACGTATAAACTGGTAAACACATATTCTGAGATAACACTCAGTGATGCGGTTTTCAAACGTTCTTCCAAAGCAACTGTGATCTAGCGAAACAGAGTTTCTTGTGCTTCATCCACCTTTCTCAAGACAAAATATGGCCCCCATCAAATCTCACTTGAGATTTCTACCGTAATCAGAGTTGAGACTTTTAGAGAAACTTTGATAGCAGATGTGGAGTAGCAAAATTTGGAAGTTCTAGGAACCGATCATTTTTCAAATCAGTTAAAAGTTTTTTGAGCGTCCACCGCTCTGGCGCTGAATGTTGAAAGTTTGGTTGTCTCTTTGAGCGTGATTATACAAAAATTATGATTTAATCAGCGAAGCCTACAACGTGAATAAATGCCCACCACAAAGGGAGGAAAAAGCTGAATAGAATGATGCCCGAATTGCCCGATGTTCTGTGAGGTATGGCCTATCCAAACTTGAATCTGGCAGCATTGAATGATTGTAAAAATTCTAGAAAGCCACCTCGAAATGCATCAAAAATGCATTGCATTATACTTTGCTAAATTGATCAGTTTGTTATCGAAGCTTTTGAACCTCCTTCAAAACCCAAACGAAAATTCAAAAATTGCTAAATTTAGACATGCGGAGACCATGTTTTGAATTTCGGTGATTATTTTAGCGGCCACACGGGGAACCACGGGTTCATAAACATGGGGGCTGGAAAGAAAAAGAAAAAGTGATTGAATTTTTTTTAAGTGTAGCCTATTTTTTTCCACGTGTTTTTGAAGTAGGTCGAATAAGGCACAAATCTGTGGACCGGCCTGCCTGTCAGAAAGGGGGTAAGTGAGCTTTTCAGGTAGAATTTTTATGTACCCTAAAACCTCACAGGCAGGACCTCCCATCAGATAGGTCCGTCTGCGGATATGTCCGACTTATCTGACAAGTTTAAGATAGTCATAATGAAAAAAAGACTTATCGGTAGAATGGGCTTAGAAGATTCATAGGCAGCATTACTCTGGGTCAAAAAAAGCGAACTCATCTCCGAGATAGGGTAGCCAATTTGCGCTGTAATGTCTAACAATGAGCAAACTCTTCGAAAACTTTACTGTACATGCTCATGTTTTCCCAAAAGCTTTCCACATAGAAATGTGATCAAAACTAAAGATGAGACTCGCGCTAACGTTCCAACAGCTAATTCAAATAGAAAGCATCGATACAAACTCAAGTGGAAGTTTTTTTGAGATGACTAGTGAATCATTCCATCTTTGTGTCATGAAATATTCTAATATGTAAATGGATACATCAAAAACAACTGATGTCTAAAAATATTAATCAAGTTAAGGTCACAGAAGCAACAGAGAAGGGACAAAAGTGGTAAGTATGGACCAGCTATTAGTGTAAAAGGTCTCTTCGCAATGTTTATACCATCGAATTCCGATTACAATAGAAAAATGATTCGACATTTTCCGAAAGTTTTTTTCCGACCTCGCAATTTCTCATGGCTTACAGCAAAATGCTGTTTTCTGAGAACTGGTCATCATGACACTATTTTGTGCGTCCACTCTCTTTAAGTAGGCTCTACGCAATACGTCGGATCAAGTTAATATATCAGTTTTTATAAAGTTCTGTCAGCTGTGTGCGTCATTAGTCTTTTATGCAAAGTTTTGATAAGCCATTTGAGAGAGATTTGATAAATTTCTTGAGCAACCTTCAACTCAAGATTCTTACGAAAACTTCAATAAATTAAGAAACACAGGACCTCATCGAAATTAAATTTTAGGATAAAATTGTGCTGCGTGGCTTAATCACCATGTTCTTTGATACAAACTATACGGAGAGGGCTTAATTGAATATAAGATAAATATAAAGAACCTTAAACATAATATTTATGTCATGTAAATTGCTACGTCAATCATTTCTCAAGAGCTTTTCCAATTCGATTTCTCGTATAGTTGTGAATGATCGTTGAATAAAAAAAGGTTTACAAACTCTTGCTATCATGTTTTCATTCGATACATTATAGCGTTCCTTTTCCGTTCGATCTAAAAGGTAGTAACATAATTTCAGAGTGCACAAAAAGTAGATTTGAGCATGTCTTCCTGAGTTATTTTTATGGATACCGTACGCATTTAAAGTGTATACTTGTAGTCATCTATGAAAGTATATCAAAAGATGACAGCCTTTTCATTCATTCCATGTTTACTGCGATGATTTGCATAAGCGAAGTCACCTCTTATTGCTTTCTTACCAGTAAGTAATACTAAACCTTCGTTATAGTTACTGCCAAATACACGACGCCTTTTGCGAAACTTATCAGATATCATGAGGGAAGCAAAACGATCAAGGTTACGAATTTGGAAAGAAACTGTTTGAAGTAAAACTTTTAATGCCTTTCAAGGTTACTTTGGCACCTGAAGTGTATAAAAGCGACAAAATCGCATCACCTAACATCGACACCATGGACGCTGAGTATCACAATCGTTGCAAAGCTTACCGCTTTGTGGCCTACACAGCGGTAGCTTTTTCGATGGTCGCCATCCTTGGAGCTGCTACCACCCTGCCCATGGTTTACAACTATGTGCACCATGTTCGCCGGACCATGCAACATGAACTCACCTTCTGCAAAGTAAGCATATTTCTCTTTTTAGATCCTCAGATTTCTATCATACAAGCATTCAGACCTCTGCTCGTGACATTTGGTCAGAAGTGAGTGGTATGAGAGTCCCTGCCAATCGCACAGCTCGTAATGCATACGACGACGAAAATGGATCATGGAGCTCAGGAGGAGGTGGCGGTGGTGGAGGAGGATCAGCAGGAGGACACGGTGGTGGTGGTGGTTACACTGGAGGCGGCACCGGAGGAGCTAGTGGAGGATTTGGTGGCAGCGCCACCGGCGGATCAGGAGGAGGGTCCTCTGGTGGTGGCCGTACTGGAGGCGGTGGCGGTGGAGGAGGTGGTGGAAATGACTGTACAGCTTGCTGCTCTGGAGGAGGTGCTGGACCAGCAGGACAGCCAGGACCTCCAGGAAGACCTGGAAACCCAGGAGCACCAGGAGCACCCGGACAGCCCGGACGTCCATCAACTCAACCTTGTCCGATTCAAACTCCTCCTCCATGCCGACCATGCCCAGCTGGACCACCTGGACCACCAGGACAAGCAGGGCAGCCAGGACCAGCTGGAAGCAACGGAAACCCAGGGCAGCCAGGAAACCAAGGAGGACAAGGACAACCAGGACCCAAAGGACCTCCCGGTCCAGCAGGAAGCCCCGGACAGCCAGGAGCACCTGGACAACCTGGAGAAAATGCTGCTTCAAGCCCAGCAACCCCAGGACTGCCTGGACCCCCAGGACCACCAGGACCCCCTGGACCTCCCGGACAAGATGGACAACCTGGTAATGCAGGAGGAGCTGGTACGTTGCCTCACTTAGTTCTTATAACTTTTATGAGCTTTTGCATGTCTTGTGATTTACAGGCCAGCCTGGACCTAAGGGACCACCTGGAGGAGATGGACAACCTGGAAATCCAGGAAACCCTGGACGCCCGGGAGACCGCGGAGCCCCTGCCGGACCTGGAGAGCGCGGAATCTGCCCCAAATACTGCGCAGTGGACGGAGGAGTTTTCTTCGAAGATGGAACGCGCCGCTAGATTTAGATCATACGAAATCTATGCAGTATACAATAGGAATAAATGTTTTAGTAAACTCAATAGTAACACACACGTTATCATTTTAGCGCTTCCAAGAAAACACTCGTCAATTACTTGATGGAACTCATCTATCATTCCCACGTGGTAAAAAATGAACTCTCTTACCATTATTCGAACCATGCTTCTCCTGCATCTCGTAGTTCTGTTTACTAGAGCAATTTCGCTCCTCCTACCAAGTAAAAAGCCGAGTGGAACAGGTTCATTGTGTATAATGTTGGCATTTTTTTTGACATTCTGCTTTCTAGAGAAGGACAAATATCAAAGCGTAGCCTCGAGCGGACTCAACTTGCCTCCAGTTCCCAAACTGAAGAGACGCAGCGAAAGATTACCTGTCATCCAAGAAAAATCTGATTATAATCCGTGCAAAACAGCTAAAAACATTTGTAAGAATAAGGGAAAATGCGAGAATCGCAACGGGCAGTAAGTTAAACAAGCTTTTTACTTATTGAGTTTGTATAATGACAAACCAGCAAACAGGGTCCAACGGCTTTGGCAGCCGCGTAAAAACTGTTTAGTTTGGACTGCGGCTGCGTCTGTAGCTAATTATAGACCTGTAATCATATACCAGGAAGTAAAAGGGGACCGTAGAAGTTCATTTTCAAGGTTCATCTGTCACTGTCCTCCAACACATTACGGGAAAACATGTGAACGCATAGCAGATACGCGATTTTGCAAGGATCATAAGTGCCAGAATGGAGCCACATGTATAAGGTGAATTTGGGAAAAGTATAGGCAAACATGAAGTCGAGTAAAGAAATTTTCATACGACTATTTGATTCAAAAAACCTGATTTATCAGCGCTGGATATCTGCGGTAATTTTACTTGGATGGTCTTTCAGCACGGAGAGGAACCAGACTTTTGTGGACCCACTCAAATTGCGCCGTTTCAAGGCAAGTCATCCCAACGAGGTCCCGCTTACTTCTAAAGCAGACCTTATGACCACAATACAGTATCAGTGAGTTGTGCCTGATAACAACTCAGGAGAGTACACATAGTACATACTTGTTACCTCACAGGTGCATCTGTCCAGACGGTTTTATTGGCGAGTACTGTCATCTGACCGAAGAGGAGCAAAGTTGCGAGGAGGATTACTGTAGCAGCCATGGGCAAGGTCATTATGATCCGGAGGATGGTTGTAATTGCGAGTGTGATCCAAAGGAATGGATCGGAGAGAGGGTCGGTGATATTCATTGATGCAATCCAATGGATTTTTTGATCCACTGACGACAACGAGAGGCAAGATGGGCTCGGCATCCTTGGGAAGTGTTCTTTTCAGCAGTCTGTTTTTCTCTAGGCCCTTGCCTTCAAGACTGGGTCAAATAAAAAATTTACAAATTTCAATCTCATTGTTAGCTTCAGATCTAATTTTGAAAACACACGCCTGCAGTGACAAATATCTTCAAAATTTATGGCTGTTGTCGTCGTTGTCATAATTGGTTCAATATTTTCTTTTGCGAATGTGTTAAAAGTACACATTATTTCAGTGTGATATCCGCTCACCATGTGCAACCTATAGTTGTATGAACTCAGCGAATTGCACTCTCAAAGAACATTCTAAAGAGAAAGCAGTCGAGGCTATATGTGTATGTCCTCAAGAAGTAGAACTGGTCAAGGTTACGGTGTCAGGTAATCTCAGTGCTCAAATCGTATGAATCCTTCCAAACTTCACTCGAAGGTGATCACTGCGAAAAGATTTCCACAGACGAGGAGACGTCCAAATTTATACCTTGCTCTGACCGCTATGGTTACCAAGACTGGTTCAAAGCAGTCCGGCAAAAGTGGGTCACGTTTGTAATTTTTTTTCTTTGGAGGCTGTGTAGCATTGTCGTGCGTTATTGTTCAAATTGGGGCTTAAGATGCATCTGAACTTTATACGTGCCTAGTGGTTAGAAACCGAATACAAGTGCCGCCCAGTACCGTTGCGTATCTTTCCTGAAAACCAATTTTTTTCGATCATGACAATTTACGGGCACCTCAGCGCACTCATCATTAGACGAATACAAATTCAGATAACGAGCCCCCCTTACTAAGCTTAGCGTAGCAAATGAACGGTATTTTATTAGTTTTGAGGGGCGTAGCAGTTCTGCAAACGGTTACTAGTAGTTCACATGAGTGCTCAAACACAGCGCATTTGCTGTAAAAGCAATAACTCGGTCAACACAAAGATAAAAACTGTTTAACTTGAACAATACGCGCAAACGGAATCGACTGCGCATGGATAATTGTTTCGATGAAACGCACATGTAGGAAATGGTGGCGGGGGGGGGGGGGAGAGAAAAAGAAAATCATCAAAAGTGGGAGATGTTGTCAAAGAAATTGGATGTTGACGTGCGTAGAGTTCCTTATCCTTCTAATCTCTTCTAACTAGGGAAGGACCCAATCGCAATGGTAATCTGGAATGAAATGCATGTCCTGGACGCGTCTTGTTGAGCTGAAATCAAATCTGTTCTCCTTGTCTGCTGAGGATTGCCTGGAAGAAGTTATGAGCGTCCAAATGTCCAAGTATGGCAAACGTTCATGGCATCCTTTTAAAAATTAGTTGTTCAAAAGCATTTGATTATGTTGTTGATCAATGTGTGCATTGCTTGTGATCAGCACACTCAACACCCAATTATGCATTCCAAGCTGGAATTGAATGCACATCATGCATCAAAACTCTAATGTCCTCACACTTTAAAACGCTCATAACTTCTTCCAGTGACCGCAGCAGATACGGGGGGTAGATTTCGGAATCAGCAGCAAAACGCTTTTATCTGTATGTAGGTATTTCATCCCATTTCCTCACTGCGATTTGGGACCTTTCCCATGTGAGCCGCGCAGATCACTTATAAGATGTTAAAGGATCAGATGGCATTCATTCAATCTTTTCTGAACGACAATAGCTTCGAATTCAGGTTCAACTATCAACGTTTTTCACAAGGAAAGGATACTTGGTGACCGCGACCATTTGCAGTAAGAGCCTTAAAGCGCTGATTCCATGTCATTGTTGTTATCCGCTATGCTACATTCTTGACGAAGTCATGGACATTTTTCCATATTGATTTCACGAGATTTAGCCAGTCAAAAATAGTCAGTATCCACGCTTTCTAGACTTTGATATATCGGAGACAGTTTTTCTGAGTTTAGCGTAAAGCTTCATTTTGTTTGGACGCTCTTTTGTAGTGAAAATTTTGAGATACTGGTGAATCTTGTCATCAAAACAGTGTAGATTTCGGTGGCAAAAAATGCTCATAACTTTTTTTTGGAAAAGCACACAGCAGATACCAAAGGCAGATATGGAATCAGCGCTCCAAGATGCACTAAAAAGTGTACGTTGTATTTCAAAAGGCCATGGGCACCAAGCATCTTTCCCTTGCTAGATTAGCTAAAATTTCTGATTGATTGCTTCAGCGGCTTGTCTTCTAGGTTGAGAGGTGCGGATAAGGCGAATCTACAAGAAATTGACAGATCTTGTGTAAAAATTGATGATGGAATATGTGAGTTAGATAACGAGTTGCGCGTTGGTTGGTGCTACCATGGAGGAGTTTGTCACGCTCGCGTGGAAATGTGTAGGATTTACTCAGTGGTTGGAAGAGAAGCATAAATTATGTCAACATTTTAGTCGAGTCTGGAAAGCAGTATCTTGTGCCGTTTTGCGAATGCAATGCCGCAGACAGCGGTAGATTCTGTGAGGTTAGTTAAATTTTCTTCCTCATATAGTGCAACTTCTTTGCGCAGTGAATTTCCGCAAGCCGTAATTTGCATAGTGAATTCGCGCATGCCGTAATCTCTTCATTTTATCCATCTCGGAACTTTTTGCCACGTATATTTACTGATTTGGTGTTCACTAGCTGTGTATGTAGCGTTTTCATCTTGGTAACCGTAAGGCAACCGTTATGGCGTCATGGCTAGCTATTTTTGCAATAAATCATTTGCTCGAAGCGCCGCGTCTTTGCTCCGATAGCTTCAGTTTTAACCTCTCGACATGAAGAGGTCATCCTTAACGCAGTGTCAGTGCGCGTGTTGTTCCATTGGCGTTCGGTGAAGCCTGCACACGGAAGTATTGGCGACCAAAGCACGGTCGTAAGCTACACCTACTTCAGTCAACATTTTGTGATCGTGCTTTTTTCACATTGCGATGAATTTGAAGGGTGTCTCATTAGAATTGAGAGTCTCCGGATTTTTGCGAATTTTTAGCCTTCTAGAACGTTTATAACCCCATCGAACCGCGTAAGGACTTTAAAAACCCTGTTTCCCGGAGCCCCATAGAAGCAACACAGACGAGCTGTCTCACTTCAACTTAGCGTAGATAGCTGGATTGAATACATCAAGAATGATGGTATCACCTGGAAAGACGTGTTGAAAAGCGATCGAGAAAGACAAATTGTCCAGCGCGCGCCAAAACGCGCTCTGCGTGCCACATCGACGTAGGAGGTCCTTATCAAATGCGACCAGGGCACTGATCTTAAAGGCAGCGGCTCGGCAGAATAGACCTACCATAGATTTTGACACAGATGGATAAGGGCCCTCCAAGTGAACCAAAAGAGCAACTCCGGGTCGAAAATGTGAATTCTGCAAGCCAGGGGGGCGGCCCAAGCGTCGCTCCCCTTCCTCCTTTCGCTCCCCTAACACCTTGTTCAGACGAGTATTCTCCGCTAGACGGCGCGGGACCCCCCAACCGCTTTCCCGCCTTGTGCATGCTATAGAAAGCCAAAATTACAGGCAGCAGGGTCTTTGTGCCAGGGCCTCCCGACTTTCCTTTGAAAAATCCTCGTCCGAGCCCTTTTGGAAATTGAAAAAAACGCCCCGAAAAAGGCTTTTTCACCCCTTTTAAAGCTCAGATTCGGGATCTACGGGTCGAGAAGGCCCAAAACATGCAAAAAGATGGAAATGCAAAATCTGCCGAGCCGCTGCCTTTAAAACTCGTAAAACTCCGGTATCCAAATCTGGTGAGATACCGTCTTTAAGGGGGAAAGGATTACTATGGGCTGAAGTATTGAGGAGGTCGAAAATTAATTGGGCGCTCTTTTTTTTGCTTTTCATAATTTTCTTCTCAGTCAGCGACAATTGTATGGCAATGCACTTCTTTGGGTATGACCAGGCAGTGCGAGAGGTTAGGCTCAAGTCCTTCAAAAACGACTCCCCTTTTGCGAAAGCGCCTAAACGACCTTTCCGCTTCATCTCCAAAATCTGAAGTTGTAATATATTGAAGAAAATCATTTTTTTACTGAAGGTTCTTGTTTTGGAAGTCTCTAGGTCCGACTTTCTGCTACTGCACGATCGCACGCAGTTTGACGATAAAATTTGGATTAAAGTAGCCTTTTTTCAAAACTATAAATTTCGCAGGGGTGGAGCGTTTGGTCCAATTTTTCATATAGCAAAAAGAGGCTTTGAGATTAATACTCGTACTAGAAGAGAGCGATTTTTGAATATTGAGAGCAAACTAAGCGCTACAAAAGCTCAAGCAGCCTGACCTTTGAGTGGCTGCGCCCGACCCATTAACTTCATTTCCGCCAAACTTTTTACCCAAGTTTTATGTGATTCGCTAGCACATCCTAGGAAATTCCACATTTGGTGTTTGAGCTGTGAAATTCAGATTCGACTTGTTTTGGCTTTGTTTAGCCCTTGGAGTTGAAGCACTGAAGGTGAAAACGCACCGGCTGGAATTTTGGCACCTCTTACTCGACTATGTGAAAGCGATACGAAGCCTGATTCCTAGCATAGACTTGTAAAGAACGTTACTTAAAAAGAAGCTGACTTTTCACTTTTGGAACCAAGGTAATCACGTTTGAGCACCAGGCTTTGCAAACGCTGGGAGACATATAAAATGCAATAGGTAATGGTATGCAAAGCTTATAGAGGTAATTTGACGTGCTGATTACGGTAATGATATCCATTTCACACAGTAAGCTTTCTTGGTGACCTAATGATATGTCACGTAAAAGAAAGTTTTGTATTTTGGTTGAAACTTCAGTTGTGGGATCAATTAGTATCTGTTTACGACCGTCACTCTTTCAATACTAGTGAAGCTGCGATCCACCGGACGAGCGCTTTTCTTCTTCACCTCAATCGTAGTATCTCCCAACTGAACAAATTCGATTAATTACGACCCTTCCTTCGGGACCCAATCTTACCCCCAATACGACCCCATGCTCAACCCTGGATATGACCGGCGCCATTATTTTTGCAGTCCCGTGCTGCTGCTCTCCACCAATGCTTCGAGCTGCGATTCGAAGAATGCGGAGCAAACTGCAAACTTGTTTTAGATTTTCTGAATTTACGTGATTGTCGCTCAACCTACTGCAAGTGATGATTAACACATTGACGACCACGCAAATTTTTGATGTCTGCCTCTTGGGACCAAGACCTACCACGGACCAATGAGCATTTTTCAGATACAATCGCGCATACTGCCATCTACAGTATACTTACAGTAGCTGCGAAGGGCTGACAAAGAAGATAGAAGTTATTTCCAGATTAAGAGCAAAAGAAAACTTCTGGAATGAGTTTGTACTTAAATAATCGTTAGTTTAGGCGAAGTTCAAGTCTTGACACACCATGTGTGTCAAGCGGTCCCACGTGGTAGTCATAGCTTGCACACATGGTGTGTCAAGCGGTCGTCAATGTGTTAATAGAAAGATTTTATGGTTTTCGTACCTTCTATGCGTTTACCGTTACGGCTTCACACTTGCGCGATGGCATGGCTAAAAAGGCTCACTGTTTTTCAAGTCGTCCCCAAGCTGGGCATTTTAAGATGTGAACTTAGATGCGTTACGATGGGGCTCTTGACCAAATAACTGGCCAATTCTGTTGCAGATATCGATACCGAAGCGAGGAACTTGTTCCAAAAAGTAAAGCATTAGTGGCCCACATGAAAAAATGGGAATGTGTCTATGATTTAATTTTACTTTTAAGTTAAAGAGCAGCCCTCTTTTGCAATTTTTTACGCCTTCTCGAATTTAAGAACGTCCCAAAAATTTTAACGAAGGCGGTACGCGGCCTTTTTCCCAAAAAGATTTCCGTCGCGACACCTCTTTCAAAAAGTAAGATGTTCAGAGGGAGCCACTTGCATGTTAGGTTGTAACGAAAGTTTTCATGCAGTGGTGTGAGTTTCTTTCCGCTAAACTTCTCGACAGAAAATGGTGCAAGACTCCTTAACATCTCTCAATTTCACAAAGAAGCTCCTGTCACCAAACTGCGCGCAGTAGCTTGACCTCCTATCACGTCGGCTTTCTTTTCATTACTTCTTTAGTTTTCAGATGGTTGGCACGCCCAAAACATTCTAAGCTCGCGCTCTGTAACCGAGGACATTTAAAGGCCAGCTGTGTGCCACTATAAAGTACTTGATATCTGGCAGTAAGTATCTGGCATCATCTCTTTGAAATGATGCCAGATAAGACTTAATTAAGGACTGGGTCACTTCTGGTGAATCGCCTTCCGGTAAGATAGCTGGGGGAGTGGAAATATTATGCGTTTATCTGAGAAAAAGTGTGTAAAGACACGAAGTGAAAGTGCCCGCGTGAGATGCGGAAATAACTAATTATTGTTTGTATATTGAATAAACACTAATAACTTAAGTGTCACAGCTCACCATATTAGAATGCATTCGCTTATAGTTTCAGTCTTTACTAGCTAATATCCCAGCCAACGCATGCTACGTTGCAACCCCAGGGAGTTTTCACTTGCTACTCTCTTAAGCCACCCTTAAGCAACTTTCCTTTATCGCGAAATAAAAATGAGCCCTCCAGCCCAGTTCACGCTGAAATGTTTCGTAGCAATTATAAGATTTCATTGTCATTGCAAAGTGCCAAAAATCAATATCTGATTGAAGGACCTAGCGAATTGCTGTGAAAGGTACCCAAGAACATCGCCAAGGTTGAAAAATATTTATGCGAAGTTTGGAGCTTATCTGTTGGCATGCTTTTCGTAACAAACGAACAGCTTCACGAACACAAAGTTCAAATTTTGATTATATGCAGATCATTCTGCATAACTTCTCAAACAAATCTCAACTACTTTTTCATTTCTCCCAGTTGCTGAGCCAAAACCAGCAAAAACTTTTACCTTTGGGAGTGTACTAGTAAAAATTGGAGGAATGCTCCTCTGTCGTGGGTCTTCCTAAACTTACAATTTGCACCTGTCGAATAAACACTAGATTTACTAAAACACTTGTTCGAACTGGCAAAGTAAAAGGTTTCAAATATGCACTGATTTAGTTTGGACTGGTTGTGTGAGACACCTGCAAAAAATCTACATCGAAAATTGCGAAATATGTGCGTTGTCGTTGGATTAGGACAACTAGTTTGATTTCATAACTTAGTTTGTATGCAAATTCATGTACCTGCGATCATTGAGCAATAAAAGCGAGGACTCAGAAGACTCCATAGTGCTCAAAAAATGCACTATAGAGTTCCTCTATAATCTGGTAGTTCCCGTCTAGAATTGCCCAGAAGGAACACAACAAGGTGAAGAAAGATGAAGTCTAAAGCTTTTAGAATGGATTTTGAAACGATTGGTTTATACTCCTAGCTGAATTGATAGAGCGAATTTCCAAGGTTGGTACTTAACGCTTTCGCCTTCTTCAGAGCCTGGAAGCCGAAATCATATGAACTTACTCTCCCAAACGTCGACAAAAGACCAAGGTATCAAAAGAAAACAGTGTTAGTGCTAAACAAAAACATATTCACAAGCACACACAATACATAATAGAGTTTTGCTTTAGAATATGGTTTTGACCACTAACTGTATTAATGATACTTTGGCTTTTGTTGACGTCTCAGCCAGTAAGTTCATATGATTTTGGCTTCCAGGCCCTGGCGAAGATGAAAGCGTTGAAACGTTAGCAAATAAAAAAATGACATCAACTTTAGAAGTTTGCTCAACCAAATCAACTAGGAGTATCTGCCATGGCAAGGTTAAGCGCAGCCGGACGTGGCAATCTGAAATTGACTCAAGAATTTGCATATTCCAGTCAAGAAATAAGCACCTTTCCCTTCTGTTTGGAGTAACTTAAAAGCACCGTCTACCTTGAATTAGGAGTGCTGAGCTTTTGCAATATAATAGTAGGAGTTTAGCTTATTAAGTAGCTGAATCTGATAAGTACGCTGGCGCAGAGCCTACTTTTAACCCTTACGTTAGCAAGCCGTAAAGTCAGTACCACCTTCCTGGATACGATACTTACAAAAATGGTTTTTTACTTGCCGTTCGTCTCGCGTGAAATTAGCGCTGTGGTACGGCATGCGTATATTAGGCGGGTTTGCAGGACAGCGATAGGGTGGTCGATTTTCCGCCGCCCAGCCTGAAACGTTGACTGGTCTGTGATTGATCATACGATCCCGCAAAGCTAACGCTTAACTCATTCTCCATACGTCAAGGAGGGCGACTCTATGATTATTGATTTTATCGACTCTATTGATTATTAGTGTACCTCATAACTTGTTTCCCATGTGGTGATACATACATGAGAAAAACGGGAAACATGTTTATGATGATCTTCAGTTACCGGAGGTAATTGATCTAAGCACTAAAATGATGTGCCTTTGTTTGGGTACTTCACGTTTTTGTGACGTTCGAGCGAAACGGCAGCCGAATTCGTTGTCACAGTTTTCTTGAAAGTCTTTACTTTCACCAGATTACACAGAAAAAAAAGGTTCATAAAATTTGTACTATTTTCTGCTCCAAAATTCTAGACGCAGCTAGATTTTCTGAGCATAGTCTAGAAACAGCTTTCGAAGCGAGAATATGGAACAGAAATTTGTTCCCATCCTTTGCTATCCTTTTGCTTCCTGACCTGTCTGATCTCGATTTGCAAAAACCTTTATTATGGCAACAGAGAAGATAAAGTCTGATAAGCAACCATGATTCTACTCTTGCGCATCTTCTATATGCAAGATGCGGTAGGTGTCACCTGATTTGCGCCAGATTTGCGTGACTTTGCCCTTGCGAATACCCATTTTTTCGGTCTCAGTTTCGTAAGCTGATGTGTAAATGATGAAGTCGCCAGCCATATGGTAATCTTCGTCAGAAATCTGTGCAAGGCAAATTGAGCTTTGGTGTCGATGTACTAGTCAAAGGCTAAAATACGTGAATACCTTAGGTGTTATCTTTCCCGCACGTGACATGAATTCTTCGAAAGCCTTCTTTAGCGCTGTAAGAAAGCTGGTCATTCATTGATATGGAAAGAAAAACTTCTATCACACCATCTCTTCCATACACTGCATCCTTTCCAGTATGAACCAAAACACCATTAGGATCATAGAAGTCGGAGACCTACGTAAGGCAATAATATTCAAAGATATTAACCAAAGATCTGCTCAGTTAATATTGTTGTTGCAAATTTCATAGAAGGTCGACGTACTTTCTCAAAATCTTGAGCCTGTGCATACTTGAACAATTGTTCCAGTAGAGGTTTGACGATAGATTTCGCTTCTGAAAAGCTAACAATTATTATACTGGTTATAATTGCTTTTGCAAAGATTTTGATCTCACAAAAACTTACAGAAATCGAAATTTTTAGTAATGAACTCACCTTCCGAAGAGCCCATGGTGCGGTGAATAACTGATTTGTCGGGTATCGTCCTCTGTACCAGCGAGAGACCGGTTTTGTGTCATAAATACACGTACGAGATTTTCATAGAAACTATGAGACATGTTGTTCGAATGTTGTGCAAAGCAGATTTTCTCTCAGTTTTCTTTCCCTGCACAGTTTGTGATGCAATGGATAACAAACTAAGAGTTACTATTGGGCTTGTTTCGCCTTTACCCCTGTACAAGAATACATTAAGTGAAAACACTCTCGAGGCTCTTCATTAGGGAAGAGTGGTTAGCAAGTTACAGTGGTCTAGTGCTGGAAATATATAGCAGCTGGTAGGGCAAAAGATCAAAAGGGTTAGCAGTGACCTAGTCTATTTAATTGTTTTATATGTTTAAATGACCAAAGTTCTATACATCTTTATGAAACACTTTTGTTGAATGTGAAGTATTCTATAAAAGCATTAGTAATTACATTTGGGGTGTGGTCTAAATCCAGAGTTGTTTTTATAAAGCATTAATAATCTAGGTAGAAAATTTTCAAATTTGGTACAGGTTCTATGAATGCTCAGAATCTCACTGTATATAGCGGAAGTCTTAACGTTAATATAATATGTGAAGACGCATGTGTGATTCTATCAACTTTAGATATAAGGTAATCTGTTTTATTATAATGTTGTGTGGTAATTTTATTATTTATGATTTTTATTTCTAAATCAAGCAAGTCACATTCTAATTCACCGTGATGCGTATTTTTCAATTCTAATATATTACTTTGAGTATCGTTTACCATTCTTATGCATTTCTTTTCTAAATTATGTATAATCAATAAACCATCCATATGTCCGAAAATTTTGAACAGGATATTTTTGAGATGATCAATGGCGAATTTATATTCGAGGTTAGATAACTTTCTCGTTCCCTACTTTTAAATAGAGGTCGTCGCTCTTCATTTTGAGCAGGCTAAGATTCAATAGTTTTTACCGTAATGGTCATAACAACAACATCGCTAGGCCATGAGGATCGCAGAACCTGCAAGTCCAAAATCACGAATAGGGACAACTTCTTGTGAGCACATATTGTACTAGGTTGTCAAGAAAATAATGTCGGTTTTTATTTGCTTGCTTTAACAAAGCAACCAGACTCAACCCAACAAAGGGTAAGGGGTACTGTTCGATAGAGCAGCTCTACAAGATGGCACTCATGTCTTTGCGCCATGCTCGATCCACGGAGAGTTCGAACTCAAAATCTAAAAATTTCCAAATGCCCAAAAATCGAAAAAATTCAGATCTTCGTCCAAATAATTTCTACGGACCTCCCACTCGCTCACATCAATACTATTAATATCTGATATCCACATGTGCGATTGCCGTATTTCTTCCTTGACTAGAAACTGAGAAAACGAAAATTTCCCTGATTTTCTCAAAGCAATGCTGAGCCGTTTTTGCCTACGTAGTTCTATACTACAAGCCTAGGTAAGTATAACTGTAGATTTTCAGCCCATTCCAAGCGGTACTTTTCGAGAAATGTCGATTTTAGCACTGAAACTGGAACGAAAAAATCCGTATTCGTTATTTTTCGAAAAGTACCGCTTGCAATGGGCTGAAAATCTACAGTTATACTTACCTAGGCCTGTAGTATAGAACTACATATACAAAAACGGCTCAGCATTGCTTTGAGAAAATCAGGGGAATTTTCGTTTTCTCACTTTCTAGTCAAGGAAAAAATACGGCAATCGCACATGTGGATATCAGATATCGATAGTATTGATGTGAGCGAGTGGGAGGTCCGTAGAAATTATTTGGACGAAGATCTGTTTTTTTTCGATTTTTTGGGCATTTGGAAATCTTTAGATTTTGAGTTCGAATTCTCCGTGGATCGAGCATGGCGCAAAGACATAAGTGCCATCTTGTAGAGCTTGCTTTGCTCTATCGAACAGCACTCCTTACCCTTTGTTGGGTTGAGTCTAGTTGCTTTGTTAAAGCAAGCAAATAAAAACCGACATTATTTTCTTGACAACCTAATAGATGGGTTATGTTGCTAAGGATTTGGGAGCATTATGGAAAATAAGATCGGCGAACACGAGCTGAGTTGGTCTTCTTTACAATCCAATCCTTCGTCATCTTCTATCGAGTTTCGTAGAGTTTAACTAAACGTGCAAACGTCCTTGTCACAATAAGGATATTTGAAAGATAGAGACGTTGGCGCAACATCCGCCAAGGGCATGCACTTAAGGCATCTATTCGCAGTATTACAGGCAGTAAAAAGCGTGTGAGCGTTTGCAATGACTTGCATGGGTAGCTGACTACAATACCGCTCACATTTTTTGAAGAATAGACGCGAATGTATGGACATGTCCATACATGTATGGACATGTCCGTACATGTCCGTACATGTCCATACATCAGCGTCGCGTGGCCATATCTCGCTTCAGAGTGGACGAATTCTGAATCCAAAGCCACCATTCGATTCAGCTCGGCGCGGAGAATCTTCCTGTACATTGGAAGTGGGGGTACGATGTCTTCGATAAATGAACGTACGATGTCTTCTGAATATGGTGCTTGCATCTGCTTCAGCTGCTCAATTGAATATCAAAGTTATTTCGTGGCTAGAACTCAAAGCACCAAATCTAACACAATAAGATCCATTAAAAATGTGGAAGGATTTGATCAGCGCGCTGTACAAGCGCTCACGGAGGAATTTGGACGAGATATGCGATCTTTACATTTTGGGCAGAATTCATGAGGACGTATTTTCGTAGGCGCGTAACTCGGCGAATTTCACAGACTGGAGCCTGAGTAGTGCACCATTCGATAGCAAAGTTCCTATTAACTTTGACTGAAAAGCAAGCAGGCAAGGTTTCTGACAGATACGCGAGAGTGCGGTTAAAGTTAGGCACTTTCGTGATGCAGTTACAGTCACCTCACCGTATCTCTCCAAAAAGACCCTGTGATCCTCAAAGACCACGATTTTCGTAAGGAGCGTGTTCGAAAACCTCTATAAGCGAAGTTCCCTTACAATTCAGGAGCATCAACATTTTGACCAAAATCCATCGGCGAGCTTTCTGGAGCGTAAAACGAGAAAAAATGAAATTACCCGAACATCCCGGAGAACTTGCTCATAAGGGTTATCCGACCTGCTGATTACGAAAATCACATCTGCTTAGCAAAATAGCTTCGTATCCTGCGGCTATGGCGAGTAGAATTTGGGACGACAAGATTTTTCCACAATTCACCAGCCGTTCTATTGCCTTTGAAAAGAAACCTGCGTCTACTATTTAACACATCATATTCTACAAAAAAAGTGCTATCGAAAGATCCTTGGAATGTACTCGGACAATGCTCGCTGCTTTACATCTTCGCGAAAAGACGTCCTCAGAAAGATTCAAGAATAATGAAATTGAAATATCAAGGGCATGCTGTATATAGTAAGATTCATCCTGATGAGCTGAGCAAGGCGCTGCTTTCGGATTCAAAATATACTTATTCCGAAGGAAGTTATGGCGAGTAGAATTTAAAAACGCGTGTCCGAAATTCACCAACGCTTCTATCTCCTTTGGAAAGAAGTCTGAGCCTATTTTTTAGCGCACAATAATCTACAAGAACAGTATTATCGAATAATGCTCAGTAAAGTCTTCTATGTTGGGTAGGCGTTGCTTCACATATTCGCGAAAGGACTCCGCAGCACAAATTGGAAAAAACTGGAAACGGAATATCGAAGAGATCGTACCCCCACTTTCAATATACAAGAAGATTCTCCGCGCCGAGCTGAATCGAATGGTGGCTTTGGATTCAGAATTCGTCCACTCTGAAGCGAGATATGGCCACGCGACGCTGATGTATGGAGATGTACGGATATGGGACATGTCCATACATGTATGGACATGTACGGACATGACCATACATGTCCATACATTCGCGTCTATTTTTCAAAAAATGTGAGCGGTACTGTACTAACAAGAAGAGGATGGTTCGAAGTGGCCTTTAGACGGAACATATGCCATCTTGGAAGACTTAAAACGCTAATTTCAAATTCTTCACTATCTCCCTAGCATCTATGAGGAGTCACTAGCGTTTTGGAGCAAAAATTTGATTGGTTTTCTTTTTAGATTAAATCAGTTGCTGAATTTTCTGCAGCGCTCGATTGAGCCAGAGTGTGTTGGTGTTATTCATGGCCAATATTTACTTTTTATTTTTAAAATATGAAGTGCTTTAAAATTATCACTGTTCCACTTGATAGCTCCCTACTTGCACATTCAACTTTTTTTTTCAACAAACGCACATATATCCTCGTGCAGGAAGGCTCCGCAAATAAGGTAAGCAGATTTCGAACTGGCGTCTTTTGCCCTCCAGAACGGTAAACATCCCATCTCATAAGGCCACTTTAACTAACCGTGCTTCCCTTATAAGCAGTACTTTTATCCTCCTAGATTACTCTGGTACCAACTTACCACCCCGAAGGATGGAGAACTTGATTGGCACAGGGGGGGGGGGCGGAGATCCAACCTTGGCTGAACCTAGCGACGCCTCAAGCTCGCCACTCGTACCTCTCATTTTGATAATCACCTTTCAAAAATTTTTTTCCAACTTTCCAAGATTTTCTTGCTTGGGTACTGCCGTTAAAGGATTGTGACGATTCTGCAGTCTAAGCTTCTATATCATTTTGAATGTCTTGGCCACCTGGGAGTTGAGAATGGCATGGGGGGGGGGAGGAGTACAAGGTGTTCTGGTACAGTTCGGGGCTCTCTATCACAATTTAAATTCGCATGTATTTCGCACCTTGACACCACCACTTTTACTTTAGCAGTAGCGAGAAATCGCTGCAATACTCGGACGATTTGGTGCATGTTTTAGTACCATAGAAGAGACGCATGCGAACCGACCGCAGTTGAGAAAGAGACTGGAGTGACTCGCGAAAATCGTTGCACTAGCTATCAACAAGGACATTGCATTGCGCCAGAGGGAATACCTTTATGCGAGTATGTAGCGTCTTCTCAGTTCTCGAGAATAGAACTTCAAGCTTTATTGTAGCTGCTTTCCCGGATATGTT